GGGGGGGGGGGGGAGAACTGCGTTTCAACGCTTCTCTGTTAAACCGCTCACCTGTCGTAATCGATTACTTTTACTATGAGACTGACGTCCTCGATGTTTTCCGCTGGCACGTCGAACACCAGGATCTCGTTGTACACCGGGAACAGCGTGTTCTTTTTCACAGAGGTCTTCTTCTTTTTGATTCGCCTGTCCTGGCACAGCAGGTACACCTTCACGTACGGGTCTGGAAATGCGTTTGTCGCGCGTTAGGTATTTTCTCTGTGTGTGTCATTGAAGGGAAATGCAGAGAGGACGGCGGAGGGGAAGATAAGATACGTTGAGGAATTGCGCCTCCTCCGCGTGTTCCTGTCTCCACGGACACCGACGTGGAATCCTTCTCCGCGAGTCGTAGTTTTCAGAAGAGTATAAAAAATATTCATTGTTATTCTCGAGCTGTCGCAGAGAAAGAGAGAGAGAGAGAGAAGAATTTTGTCATTTTTTTTCTCTCGTCAGAAAGTACAATGTAAATTTCTCACTCGGGATGATTAAAACTCGTGTGGAACACTTGCGGCAGTGTGCATTAATAATTCAAGAGAATTTAAATATTTGCGTAAGATACGTAGGCTCGTGATACGAGTGTGACGAGAGGCCCCCACGGCTATTTTCAACATTTTGCGAATTTTTCGCTCTCGTGTTCGTCGTCCTCTATTATTTAAAATTAAAACCCGTGCGGCATCGTGCAAGATAAATAGAGGCGACACGTCGGTGGAAATTTTTGCGGCACACGTATTTCGCTTGATTATCGACGGTCCGGGCGAATTTACCTGACGATCCTGTTATATCCATGGCTTTCAAGTTTCTCGCTTTAATTACGGTCACTGTTAGCCGGCCGGCAGTTGGTAGGTAGCACAGCGACAGCATCAATTTTCCCAGGTCCACTTTGTCCTAAAAGAACGAGCAAAAACCGGTTCAGTTTCTAAAGTGGTGGAGGCTAACACGATGGCCAAAGTCGAGGTCACAGCAGAGATTGTAAATTTCGGCTGACCAAGGTCGTTTGTTTTACCGTAACTAGAACCATCTTCTACGTAAATCTCGCGTGCAATGAAGAGTATTAAACGTATCAGTAACAATGAAAAATTGTCGACAAACTGATATAAATCCGCAGGAAAAGATCGTATAACGGTCGGTGATTTTATTTTAAAGCGTAAAACACATTAACGTGAAAATTGTTAAAAAATTCAGACGTGTGTAAAAACATTAACAAATTTTTTTCACGACTAAGTCTACTATAAGTTAGACTTAAAGATTGAAATTACAAGCTCTCTTTTCTTTTACGAGCTATTCAGATTCGTTGTACAATCTTTTCTTTTTTTAATTTTATCGAACTTTAAGATTAGATGACGAAACGTAAGAATTTCTTGAATTTTTGTCGTCTGACCCCCAACAGTCAACGTTCAATTTCAAAAAGTGAAGCAATAACTTCAGTTTTCAAAATGATGATGTAGGATTAATAAAAAAATTTTTTCAATGTTTTTAACACGTTACATTTGAATTTCTACTAAATCATCTTTGAAAAGAACGAATTATCAGAGATTTGAGATTAAAGCACGATTACACGAAAATTAGTTTAAATTGTCGACGATTTCCCGATTATCTTTCCCTCCCTTTGAATAAACATTCAAACATTAAAGCAGAGAGTGCTTACTATCACTCGCATAATTTTAACAAATTAGATTTTAATATTCAAGGAAAGTTCGATGGAGGAATTTCAATAGTATCACACATTTGACACAATTCGTTGAGACGTTTGTTACCTGCATAGCGCACAGAATGTCCATCGTGTACTCAATCTCTTGTTCGAGGTCGGTGCAATCCAACAACTCCTTGAGCACCACTTGCCCGATTAAATCGTTCCGGGAGAATCGATCGAAGTCGTAAACGGAAAACTGCAGATACTGTTCCCTCAGTTCTTCATACGACACACTGGTAACAGATATCGATTGCGTTCGATGCCACGGACGATACATTGTTTGCAGCGTGTAACACGATTCACAGCAGAGTTGAGCAATAATCTAATTACTTTGTTATCATTTCGATTATTAAATA